ATGCCAATTTATGATCATTTTTTTGCCATTTTGAAATCGAGAAAAAACTATCTCAAAACGGACATGTAACAAGCACATTTATTTGGCATTAGTTAACGCGGTCTAATAAATGGACGAAAATGCCGTTTAATGACGTCCGTAAAATGCCATTTTTTCGGACATTGACTATAGTGTGGCATTATTTTTACCGTTATTTCAAAGTCAAAAATAAGTCATCATAATGGCTGATGCCACAGGTGTCCTGTATGACACAACTATCGTCACTAACGCTGCGTATGAAATTAAGCAATTTCAATGACACGACGGCTCATAACGCTTCTGAACTAGTCACGGCCATTGTTGTAATTGAGTTGAAAGTAAGCAAGACTCTTACTCAACTTTGTCTTAAATACAACCAAATATCCGATCAAGGAAGTGAAGCACTAGCAGAAGCACTGAAAGTAAACAACACTCTGACTTTATCTTAATGGGAACCAATATCCGTAAGAGGAAGTGAGGGACCAAATTGCTTGGAGGCTAAACTGCTTGGATCCGCTACTCTGAACGAATTCTACCACTTTCCTTGAGGTGTTGTTTATAAATGTTGTTGTTAAATGCATGTTTATAAATGGATAAACACTCAAACAATATCGTGAAACCTATGTTTTTTTATTTGACATAAATCTGAGAGTGTAGAGTTTTTGCGGGTTCGTATATGCAACCAGACAAAACAGAAATTTAAAAGATGTACAAGAGAAAAATAATAGAAGTTCGATTACGTATGTCTACAAGTCTGAGAAAGTTTCTTATTCGGTATAATGCTGGATACTAGACTTTTTTTGCTTTTGATGGTGGAACTCTTGTTCGAGTGATTTCTATATGTGTTGTTGCGTCTGAATTTGCTTTGGTTGTTGTTGAATCAGTCATCGCTAACGTTGAATGAGAATCCCAGAATTTTATACCAGAACACAATTCTGCTAATGCATACCGTGACCACTCCCCGTGCTCTTCGCACTGTTTGCAGTGGGGACCAAAGGCAAATGGGTAGACGGCATAAACAGAATGCGGAGGATATAAGGCCAAATCACCTTGTTTAATTTCGCCCCATTCAGTGACAAGACGGGGGTAGCCGCGTAACAAATCAGCATCACAACGAACGGTTTCACAAACAGTCAACGGAATCCAAAAACCTAAAAATGATACTTTATGAAATGGTATAACTCATAATGATAGGGTAGCTTAGCACTTATCGATGGGATTTTCAGAAGAATTTCAAATTACAGCATATAAGGCGTACTTTCCCTTATCTAATCGTTTCTTCTTATATTGACGAAACATAATGGTGGTTTTTACTACACATTCTTCAGAGGAGTCAATCGATTGGATGTCAGCTTCAGCTTCATTTTAAAAGAGAATGAACTCGTAATCTCACCATTTTGACATATTCTACAAAATTTTACTCCGTCTGGTTGAGAACGTCTTTCATAAACGGCAACAGCTAAATCGGGTACATTTTCGAGATAATTGGGAAATTTTGTTCGTCGATCGGGTTCATCAATTCTTAATCGACGAAATTCAAATGGTACAACCATTTGTGATTCAGCTTGTTGTAATGAATCAATCGTACAACCGGATGATCGTGCTACAAAGTTTCGTTTCATCATCGATGTTAACAATTGTTGAGATTCATTTACAGTTGGTTCTTGTTCTTCGTGTTGAAATGGTTTCAAATCAATATAGGATAATGGTACGGATATCGATGGCGTTAATGAATTAGATAATGAAGGATTGTCACTATTTGTTCGTAGATTATTTTGTTCAAGCATTCTTAAATTACGAAATAATACAGAACCATCCGATAGATTTGTATTATTAGTTTCATACGGTTTACTGAACATATTTGTATCAATAATAATACAGGTTGGTATTGAGTATGAGTAATAAACAAAGATGGAAAATTTTAATAGAATAAAAATCAGATGCATTATTATTTTAACGTTAAAAATTCTTTTTATGATGATCAAATACCAATAAAACAAACTGAAGTTTTCTTTTTTTTTTCTATCAAAAGCTAAACATAATCTGCTAATCCATTGTTAAATAATTTAGATAGACAAATGATGGATGAGCAATTGTCCAGACATGTAACAATGCAGACATATACGTTCATGTTCAAACATTAAAAATCATTTTTGCTATATAACATAGAATAAACGTGTGAACATAGTTCTCTATACACATACAATTAACCATTTAGTGTTAATCGTTCACCTTATTATTTTTCTTTATCTTTTTATCGAGTGATAGAATAAAAAGCATAATACACTTTTTTTTGTAACCATAGTTTAAAACATTTCAATATCAAATACTCTATATTCATGCTTACATATAGGAAGAAGATTATTTCTCAAAAATTAATTTATTGAATTCTATAATCCTATCATATAAAAGCGACATATTAGAATAAAAATATTCAACTTGTTTTCAATACCTCTTCTGATAGAAAATAAAATCTTTTAAAATGCAATTCTGTTTATTATCTAAATGTCCTTTGTTTCACTAATCGTATCATTTGGACGTTAAACTTGCCAGAAAGAAACCATAATTTCTGTACGATTATCTTGTATTGAACAATTCTCCTTCATATTTGTCACGAATATTTCCTTCCTATTTATCAGCTGATATCCCTTTGTATTTGATTGATCAGAAGGTAGCAGATGATACCATATTTTACCATCATCGTTCTTATCAAAATTTTGTTTGTTCATCTTTTGACTCTAATAGAGAGAAATTGACATTTATTGGAAGATTTGTGTACTACAAATTTTGTGACCACACAAACATATATTGTCGATAAAAACGCTTCGATAAAACGCCACACGTATTCTGATCAAGATGAGCCAAGAAAATAGAACATGGCTGACACAGACCTTACCATAGAAGTTCAAATTTTAGACATTGTTGTTTGCAAAAAGTTTCTAGCAAACCTCATCATGAATATCGACTAGATTGCAATTGTGCTGCGCACAAGTTGCGATGTTGACAGACTCCGTCTCTGACTGAACCTAATCCCCTATCAGCAGGCTGTGAACATTGCATTTTTGCTTTGATTTACTCTTTGAATTGCTTAGAATATAAAATAACAATGAAGAAAATTTGAAAAACAGGAAAAGAAATTATTTTTTGTTCTCTAACTCAATGACATCGAACAAAGATAACAATAATTATCTAAGTCTAAAACAAGTGGACCATTACTTGAGAGAAAAATGTGCATTGATCAATCTCCAATGTCGGGAGAATATCTTACCTTTTCCATAACTTTTTGTAGCTTTTATAGTTCTCTAGATCACGAGGTGTACATTTTGCTTAAAAAAGGGACGAAAGACAGAAGAAAATAAAAAAAAATTCCTTTCAAAAATATATAATGTCTGTCGACATAAAAATTTGAAGATATATTCAAAATCTTTGCTCGGAAATTGGTAGAATCATCTTACATGTATTGTTTTCAGCGCGAATAGAATCCAAATCGATACATATACAATACAAATGTAAAGTAACGAGCCTAGTCGATTTTTTAAATAAAAATCAATGCATGTCTAGGCCTAGTTACATATACAGTGTAAGTCTGTATCACAATCAATACCTCGTTTAATATAGATTACAATTATTTAGTTGTCATACTAACTAAAAATATGCTACCATCCATAACTTTATGAAAATTATTGCCACAGTGTAACAATCTATACAGAACAAAATGAACAAACTTCTTTTCATTTAAGACAGTAAAGTTTATTGTATACTTTTATGACATGCAATTTATAAATATTTATTATTTCATGGAGTGCATCGTTCACTAAATATTGCTTTTTTGTAGTAAAGGACATCTTTTGATATGAAAATTTCTCTCTTTTATGTTCAACACACACCAGAAAAAATGAAAGTTCAATACACAATCATCACTTTGCCGTTCAGAGTTTTCACTGTCTAATTTTAGCTATCATCGATGTAATTCAGTTATCTCAAGTGCACTAGCGAGAGAAGACCGTTAAACTAATAAAAAAATTTTGCATAAAAGACATTTTACTGCATGTATTCATTGGCATGGATTAAAAATCTGATATATATATTGCTGCCTATAGGTAGTTCTTGTACGGATTACCCAATTCAGTCTCTGAAAAACCAAAAATCTTTCTAAATGAAAATTTTTTTGAGATAGCCATTGTTTAAAAATATCAAATTTTTTAATAATAAAAAATATCAGATCTGAAATCGGTGCCAATAAATACATGTAGTAAAATGTCTTTTATGGAAACAAAAACTCTTGAAAGATGCTTGGCGATGTTCTCTCGTAGTTTAAGCAAATTGGACCAGAACATGGTAACAGGCAGACATTTAAAGAAACAAAATGATGGACCTGAAAAACACAAAAAGTTGTGTGTTTTATATATTCACTTAATAATTTTAACGAAAAGAAAAACATTAAGGAAAAAAAAATGAATGTCCAGCATTCACTCGACAATAACATCAACAACAATCAATAACAATATAAAAGAAAGAGAAAAACAAAAGAAATTTTTCTAAACAAAACCATTTTCATTTGTTATTGAATCAAATCGTTGATAAAATAGAAGATAGCTAAAAAAATATATTTATAATAAGCAAGATTACAATTAAAGCAATGAGAACCATTATTCTTACCATTCACTATTAAATACTTCTTCATTATTTACTTCAGATACTAAATGATCATCACAACGAAACCAACGATTGTGATTTAATTTAATATAGCAAATGTAATGGCCTGTTTCAGCTGATAGTCCAAAATGACTAATGACAGCAAATAAAAAATATAAATTATTATTTTTAGTGGATAATTGTTGTTTATTTTCATTTATTTCGCTTTGAGTCGATGATAAATATGGTGTCAAATCAAAATATTCAGAAAATGCAACATGTGATGAGATTTTCTTTCTAGAACGGGAACGAGACTTTTTTATATATTGAAAACGCTAAAAAACATACAGACAATAAGTCAATAAAAATTAAAAAATAACTATGATTTTTTTTGTTTTACTTTCAAATGGAAGCATGCAACAACAGGTGCTTGAGCAATGGTTAATTTAATCGTTGCCGACATAGATAATTCACAATGATCACAATAAAAATTACTCAATGTTTCGGAATGTGTGAACCTAAATGATGACAAAAACAAATAAATTCAAATAAAGTGAAAAAGATGACAAACGCTTACCTACGAAGACATGTTTCTAATGTAAAGGTTTCATGTGTACGATCTTAGAGAAATAGAATAGATAATATGTAGTATATTCTGTCGTTAATAGAGAGAACTTACTAGTACAATTCGTTGAATCTAATTGTAGAGATATATCACGAATAGGATCTTCCTTTATTGAAACATTTCTAAATAAAAAACAACAACATATTTTTAACAAAAATCGCACTATAAATAAAAGTGAAACAATTCATCTGGCTATCTTCTTCTTTATTTTCGTTACAAATCATTTTCAATCGCTATTTGATCATCTCTTAATCTTACCCACATCTTGAACAAGTCACATCAGATTGTAATGTCCCATTAAATATTTTATCAATTACACATGAACAATTTTTTCCATCTTTTGCTTTAAATAAATGAAACAAATCAATATTGCAGATTCTAATAGAAAATACAGCTAACCTACTTGCTTCTGTTGTATTCTGTGAATGAATAATGTTAAACAATGCCATCAAAAATTCCTGAGCATCTTGTTCTTCGAAACCCGCTAGATGATTTTCGTGTGTCCATATTAGATACAATAATTGTGACGGTATATATGGATTCACTGTGTGATGTGAATAAATCTAAATATAACTACTATAGTTATTCCAATATAAAATATAGATAATGATACACATACATCACGGCATAATCGATTCATTTCACACAGAATACAATTTGAAATTGTCAAATTCGAATTTGTGGAAACAGTTTCATTTTGTGTTTTATTTGAACAAACATGTTTATTCAATAAAAAATAATCACGCAAGACTGAAATTAAAATAGAAAACAATCAGTGATTACAACTCTTCAATAAATTAAAATAAATACTCACTGGGCAAATGAATAACGGCTTGCAACACACTATTCATAAAACAAGTATTGCTAAAAAATGACTAAAAGTTATTTTACTCAACAATTTGTATTGACAATGACTCACCCCAAATTGAGAATACCACAGACGCCTAGGAAAAAATAAAATTATTATAGAGAATAAACTTTCATTTGTTATTTTTACAGTCAATATCGAATTCGTAGAATAGTGGGTGCATCATGATCAGCAATTGTCAAGGTATTTCACTATAATTGGTCGTTTAATACTTACCATTAGAGCTGTTTTTCTTTATTATTCCATTTGAAATATTTTCCTGCAACTGTGGTTTTTTTGACTTTTCCTTTTTGGTAATCATACGTGATGTTGTTCAAATTATGTTATAGTAGCGATAAAATGAAAAAACATCTAAAGCGATAAGAACAGTTATAAGCGGCTTTCAAGTAAAACTTTAGAAAAACAAAAAGTGAGAAAAGTCAATCAACATGAAGTGAACTTTCGAATCAGCAACGAGCTATTTGAACGCTCAGTCGTTATAAATAACAAACAAATATCTATTGCTCATATAAAGTTCAAAACTATTCGATTTCTCTTCGCAATATTACAGACATATCCCTCTGTGAAAAAGGAGGATCAAATAACCGAAACTTGGAGAGCGTATTACAAATAGAGATGTGCGCCGGCGCGACGGTTTGCCGCCGGTCATTTTTTACACGCCGCGGCCGCTGAAGGCGAAGAAACATTGTTTGGACTTCCGCTGCCGCCGCCATGTCCGAAAATATTTGTCGCTGTCGAGAGCGGAGAAAAATGTTTTAAGTTCACGCTGCAGCCGCTGAAATGTTTTGAATATAGTCTTGTTATTTGTTATAATCTTGTTATTTGTTTTTTTTCTTCAGAGTGATAATTGAGCAGTGAATATTCTATGTATTTCATATTGAAACGTAAACAGAATACGTTGTTTCTTTGTTTGCAGCACAGAGTGTGCCGTTTTCTTTGGTTTTACATAAACCGTATGACGCAGGGTTTTCTTACTCTTTCTGTTGGTACGTTCTTACCTTAGGCATCCAGCGTGCAGCGATTTTCTATCTTTTCGCATACGACGACGTACAGGTATAGTTAGTCCACGAAGGACGTGCCGGAAATGAAAGAAAACGTTCTTTTAGTCAAAATTGGAGATTCGCCGCCGATAACCAATTTTTACGCACCGCTCCGGAAGGAGAAGAAAATTTTCAGAGCCTTACGCCGATGTTCAAAAATTCATTCGCCGCTGCGGAAAATTTTTGTCGGTGCACGTGTCTGATTACAAAAGATCACAAAGCTAAGTCTAAGTAAACTTAGACTGATAATGACTAATTTTAGGTGTCCACTGAGACATCCATTACATTAACACCAATATCTCATGAATTGTATGTATAATCCTCACAAAGTTTTCTAGAAAGATATATATATATGCAAAACAACGTGCTATCATTTTTTATCCAAGTTTTACAATTGTTGTCAAGTTCTTAAACTGGACTGCGTAAGACTTTTTTGATACAGCTCACAACAACATTTCTTTTAGTTGTTAAAGACGAAGCTTGAAAAATTAGTAGAAGATCCCCATATTTTATCGTCGTTTGCTCCACTAAATCATCAGACGTGCAGCTTCAGCGTGTTTTTGTGTTAAGGATAGAGTTACGGTTGCTACCTTGCGGAATCTGAAAAGCGAGAAAAACACCTGGATAGTTTTTTTTCGAGAAAAATTGAACAATTCTGCCCAGAATCGAATATTAAAAATAGAAAATAAACAAAACAATACCCGAGTTTTCAAAGGCATACGTATACATACAGCGCGAGGAGAATATTTATTGGTGAAAAGCATGTACTAATTATTATTCAACTGAAAAATCTGTTCTGAATATCTATATTTAACAAAATATATAGTTCTTGTATTTTTTATTCTACATATTGAACTAAACAGACCCTTAAATATAACCAAATAGCTTAAGATGCTATTACGGCTCAGTACTGCCATCTTGCGTCGCGCACGTGGAGTTAAAACTAGTGCAGATCGTCGTTGCTTAATTCGCCTTGACACGGTAGCTATTCACATTCCCTATATAAAGAAAATCAGCTCTACGACGTTCGACATCCTAGTTTAAGAATCGTTTAAATAATAACACATACTATACCATACTATACTAAGTAAATATTTCAATTCTATATAAGTCAATTTACCAAATTAGCGTTTCGTTTTCACATTTTTGTGAATGTCTACTCCCTTTTTCTTTGAAAGACTTTTTGATGAGACTTCTTTTTTGTGAGTACGTTCTTTTCTCGCCTTGAGAGAAACTGTTTTGCCAGTTTTAAGTGTAGACTTTGAAAATGTTTTGCTGACTACTTTTGTTTGTGAGCGTTCTTTTGTTTTTGGTTTTGTTGAATTTTCATTAATTTTTAATACTTTTTTCATCACACCTTTGGAAGTTTTTTTCGTTTTCGCTCGATCGTTTTCTTTTTTCGAGTTCTGCATTGCCTTTCCAGGTATAGTTGATTCTTGTTTCATGAGATCGGGTGGTAGTTTCTGTACACTGCGGGCAGATTCGTCTGATTTCGATGGAGAGTCCTTGAGTGTTGAAGGCTTAAATTGGGATGTCGAATGTCGTAGAGCTGATTTTCTTTCCGTTGCGGTGAATTTTGTGGTAAAATTAATTCTGTCATTGTTCTTTATTTTTGGTCTTCTCTCATTATTTTCTTCTTTCCAAACGCCTGTTTGTAAATCATACGACCGTAGGATATTCGTCAATGGTGGTTTTCCAGGTATTTCAGTCGTTTCTGATATGTGTAGTTTATTATCATTATACGAGAGACCATGCAACAGTTCTAGTTCAGGTATATCAGTAACTTTCAACCATTTTCGCCGCTCTTCACTGAATGTCCATACATCTTTACATAAAGACCAAACAAACAATTAGAAGAATAACTGGAGATAAATTCTAAACATAGTCACCTTAGAGTTGGAACCGTACCGGTACATCGGTCGATGTAAACCAGTATTTCATCGCTATGAGAAATAACTTTTTATATATTTTTAAACTAACTTTGTTTTTAAAAATATATATAAAAGGACGTTCTTTCTTTTACTGATTGACAACTGAAAAATGTACCGAAGTCACGCGCCAACAAGGATCAACGTTCTTTCGGGCAAAGAGCAGCTAACGGTTCTACACTACCTCACGTTTCCACCAATTCAAATTTTTTTCCCCGGTTTTTCAATAGTTTCTAAGTTTTATAGCGCTCGGTCCGGTAACAGTACAACTTTCCATACTAGTTCTAACTCTGACTCACCTGCTACTATAAAAGGCTTTTTATCGGCTCCAACATCTAAAATATGCGAATAATTATAATAAGACTAGTTTAACTGGAAAACTCTATCTTACAAGATGTGCTTGCCGTAACCGCCAGCTGCATAAATCTGTTTTTCTACTTCAGAGTATTTTTGTATGATTAAAATAAGAGGTCTTGCTCTTGCCACTTCTAACTCTCTGTTGTAATGCCATTCCGTATCATTCGGATAGCTCAGCGTTAAGTATTCACCAAGAGCAATGGATTCACTTCCAATAATGTCAAAACCTCCAACACAATGTATTTGGCCATCAAGCATTCCTAGAGTTAATGTACCATCAAATTCATAATATTTATTAATCACAGTCATATAATATCCTCTACGTACCAACTCCTGGTCCTGACGCTGGTGCTGGTAAATGTGGTAAAGCTATCCAGTTCCCTTCATGATCCTTTAGATCAGAGATGTAACAATTCGTTAGCGGATGATTCTCCAGATCATTTCCACCAACCGCTACAACGTATTTTTCGTCAATCGCTAACCCAAAACTAACCGCAATGATAAAAATAATGTTCTTTTGTTAAAATATTTTACAATTAGAAAAAGATGACGTTACATACAAAAATTGATTTAACCTGCATTAGGCAACTGCAAATAAAAACAGAAAATCAATAGTGTTTCTAACATTAATTCGAGAAACATTCTCCAGTTAACTTACTGGCTTCATTGGTATTAATCGCCTTTCAGCAACCGAATACTTGTAGTCGCATTTTGCTGCTCTCCGATGATCTTTCTCCGGATCAAATATGTAACCACCTTAAGATTCCAATGAGTAAGAACAAGCAATTCTCTGCTATACTTTTAGATTTATACCTATTATATAAACGAACTTCTCTGTGTGAATCATAGCATAACGTTTGCGTAATTCTGACCGTTCTAAGACAACCATTGCTTCTTCTGTCAAAATTCCAATTTGGTTCTCATCTCTTTCCAACGATGGACTAAGTATAACTAACGAGGGTCTTCCTAGTTTTCTAGTTTCAAATTTAATATCACGAATTTGCCCAAATCCTGATTGTAGACTAATTTTATTATAAAAACTATAACATTCATCTATATATGTCGATTTACACTGTGTGGAAAATGGTATTTGTCGTAATTGTCGTTGCTGTTGAACTGAATAAATATTTTCTTTGACACATTCTGTTAAGTTGTGTTTAAGTCTTTGGTTACTATTATTGAGCATTGACAATGATTTAATACCATTTCGCGGCTTCAAATTTAACAATATATTCCACCATGATGTACCTTGTAAATAAGATTGATTTTTACACGGAAAACATGAAACAGTACATCTAGTCGGAGATGGTGAAAAATCAGAAAACGGTGTTCGATTTGTGACGTTCATTGTTTTTATTCAATAAACAAAATAAAAATTTTAGTTTCATCAGAAAAAAGCTAAACCAATTTAGCATGCGAGTTTTGACAAGACGAGATGAAGTTCGAAATAAGTACTCTTCACAATTGTCATAGTAACTTCGAATTTGTAACTTGAAACGAACAAAGTCGCTTGATGAGTGAATGCGGGGATCAAAACAGACATCTTTACTTTTTACCCATCAGGTTCTTTTATCGATTGAAACGGTGTCCAAACGCTTGTAACCGCCGAAATAACAGAAACGCGTCCAATCGATGCTTGACACGCGATTTTTAGCCGTTTAATTAATATGCGAAACGTGTTTTTGTTTACACGCATTTGGACACTGTTTCAGTCGATAAAAAAACCTCATGTGATATTCTTACTATTCTTAAACTAACAGTCTACATTAAAATGCTTTAACCCCTTGCACATCGGTCAAGCTTATCGATAACAACAACTAAGTAAGTAATGTGGTTAATATTATTTTCTTTTTGAATGACGTCTTGTAATTGTAATGAATCAAATTTGAAACTTGTTAATTTAAAAAACTTTAAATTTGTATTATATGTATACAGAAAAAATTGAAAGTGAAACTTTCTACCACGGTGAAAATTGCGACACATGAATTGATCTATATGAAACTTTTGTTAGAGGGATTATCTTGTTAATATTTTCAAGTAGCTCTTAAATTTAAACCAGCACTTGACTTCCGATTAAGTCTTAGTGAAGTATCGATTTAAGTCTGTCTTAGCCCCACAGAACGTGATCTGTTAAGCACTTACTTCAGGCATTTCTAGAGTCTGTCTTAATCTAATGCTCTGAATACACTAAAATGAACTAAATGTTAACTGAAGTTTGTGCTTAAACTCATAAACTTAAGAATGTTTATGAAACAATATCTCCGGTTCATTTTGGATATAGACGCCATCTATTTTCTTTTACATCCACTTGCCATTTAAAGTAACGAACGAGATAGCGAACGAAAGATAGGGAGTATTGAATTAAACATGTGTGTGCAGTCCTCTTAGATCCTAATATAATCCGTTGAATTGCATTTGTTTCTATCTTTTAGTTAATCTAATTTAGACGTTAACTAGACCACTGACAGTGGCAGTATAAAGAGCAATCTTGGTGTTTTCTATTACCTTACGTTCCTTAAACTCTCTAAAGCTGCTAAAGCCTCCGTTTAATCATATTGGTTATTATATTAGAAAATATAGTTAAGAAAATAACAGTGAGATGTTCCAGAATGGGCAAATTTATAACAAAACAGTTCTTTTCACTTTTATTCCATTGCTTGCTAACATGTCGGCAAATCTAGATAGCCTTTTTGTAGCCCTTGAAAACCTGTATACTCTATTACATTACAATTGTTTACATTATAATTTTTTTTCTTTTATCGATTTTGCAAAAATCCTCATTTTCACACAATATTTTCGCACCCTTGCATAAAATCTTTACAGCTTTTGAAATGAAACCTTTTGAGTTATTTTTTAGTTTTGGGAAGCAACAGTATATCTGCTATATTCCGATATGAAAAGTTCAATAAGTTCGCTTCTTCCATCAGTGGACAGATCAAAACTTCTTCCTCATTAGGTAAATTTCAGTAAAGTTACTCTTTGCGTCGTAATAATGAATGAATGGTTTGATTTATTCACGAAAAGTGAGAGGTTTGACTAGGTTGAGGTGAAACTAGGTGTGACCGAAATCCATCATACAACATGAGAGAGAGAGCACCGTTCGCAGCATTAGAAGACTGACTCTAATGTATCTTCATACCCGTTCAAGCGTTTAAAAAGAAGCTTCAATTACCTGGGATATACTCGGCAGATTTGCCTATGTCGGAGCTTCTCAGCGGTATTCATTTTACTTTCCACTTTTACATTTTGTATTATGCAATACGATTTCTTTTGTGAAGAATTGAGATGTTTTCTATGCTACATGAGAAAAAAGTTCTTTTTAAATTCTTCGTCTGAGCGAGCAATTCCTGAGCGAGAAGTCATAATACCGGCTATTCTTTTTTAAATTTCGTATAAACTGTCCATTTTAGATTTAAAAGATTGGATTTTTCTTAGTCAAATTTTTGTTTTTATGAGTGAAACTCTAAGCGACGAACAGAGGGTAAAGTTTTTCATGTCGCAATCAATTAAAAATAGAAAAAAAAATAATGCTGCGCTTTGTTTTTTAACAGGCTACAATAGCCAGACGTTTCATTACACATGCACCTCCAGGAGAATTTAACGAAGTATTTAATGGTAAGAAAAACATCAAACACACACTCATCATTTTAAGAATCGTTTTTATTCTGTTCAGATGTTCGTACATTGTTGAATGATGATGCTCTTGTTCGAAAGTCTGTTTCAAAGTAAGAGAAATAAATCTGAAGTTTGAAAATGAATTTTCTGAGCAAACGTTAAATATTTTATAGCAATAGAAGTTGAACCGATCTTCTAATGTTACTAAAGTGTAAAGTCTTTAATCTATATTTCAGAGCCTTTGCTGAATATAATAAGGATCAATATATTCCAACAAAAATTCAAAATAGTGATGAAGAATGTCTGATAACAGAAGTCACTGATCAAGGTGATGGACGATTTTTTGATCCGAGAACGAGACAAACATTCAAGTAATTTTTTTCTATATTATCTGAAATTAAATTGAAATCCTATCTGTTTTTTTGTAGATTTGATCATTTACGTCGTGAAGCATCAGAATATCAACCACATCAACCGGATGAACAATCGGAATCATGGCGTTTAGCATTTGAAAAAGAATTAACAGATTACGTTAAAGAGCGTTATCCATATGGTGCTTGTACAATTGTTGGTGCAAGTGATGGAGATACAATATCATTAGCTGCATTTATTGAAAGTCATAAATATGAACCGAAAAATTTTTGGTATTTCTTGAAGAAAATCGTGTGTTATATATTATAGAGTATATTTATTGTCTATAGGAATGGTCGTTGGAGATCACATTGGTCGTTAAGTTTTAGTAAAGGACAATCAGAATGTGAATTAAAAGGGCTTGTTAAAGCTCAAGTGTGTACATACTTTGAAGATAAATGTTAGAAAGTTGATATTTAATATATTTTCTTATTTCAGGTTCATTATTACGAAGATGGTAACGTTCAATTAGTTAGTAGCAAAGATTTCAATGAGTCGATCAGTATACAGGTTTGTTATTTGCTCACCATGTCAATTTCAATAAAATTTTCGATTGCTTCGTTCTAGGATGAACATACAATGAGTAAAGAAATAATTAAAATTATAAAACAAGCTGAGGATAATTATCAGGTAAAAAACATAAAATATTTCTTGACACCTTTTTTTGTTTAGTACATGGTGAGATCTAAACTAGTTTCTGTTTTGTCAGACGCATGCACTTTCACCATGCTTTACACTAATCGTTTGATAAAAGCAGTATCCATATTTTATGGATGCTACTTTTATCAAACGGTTAGTGTTTTCTAAATTATTGGCTATAAATCGACTTAATTTTCACCATATTTCTAGTAAACGATTCCATAATAATCATCTATTTATAGAGAAAATGCGTAGAAAAAATAGTAGATGCAAGTTTTATGCTTTAAAAAATTGTCTCATTCAAATTGATAAGATAGTGACAGCAGCTGTTTTTAGATTCATCTTTATTTAATAAAAATTTTTGTTTTTTTATTAAAATAAACCTTTTTATAAAAATAAAGTCGATGTTTCGAAAATTGTAATTTTCATTATCAAGACAATAGAGACGATTAACCGATGTAAAGTTAAAACGAACTAAATACAGAGAGTAAAATACATTTTTCTGTAGTACAAGAGAGAGAAATAGACATTCTTTGTAAGAGAGAGAAAAACATGTGTTGTAAAATCGAGAAAAATGAGCAGACTATGCGATACACAAGGTCAAAAATGCCTTGAGATGTCATTTTGTTAAAAAGATGAATTTTAAATAAAGATGAATCTAAAAACAACTGCTGCTACTATCTTATCAATTCTAAAATTTCTACCCCTGAACAGATATAATGTCTCATTCAAATGTTTTGCTTACTCTACTCATAGTCTCATGTATTTTTGTTTATATTTTTTTTGTAGCAAGCTGTTAATGAAAATTATCAGACAATGTCGGAGTCAACTTTTAAAGCACTCCGTCGACAATTACCAATAACAAAAGGTAAAATCGATTGGACTAAAATAACAGCATACAAAATTGGAACGGAATTAAGTGGACAAAAAGGTTTTGAATGAACTAAACTACAATATTTAAATCCATACATTAATGTGAATGAATCGATTATGTTTACAATTTACAAAACATTATCTACGTGTGTTTACATTCCAAAACAAATTTCTCTAGTGATAGACTTTTTTTCTTTTTTTTTTGTTTTCTTTTATCTTTTAATTAAATTTTCTTGAAGTAAACAAAAAAAAACAAATTGGTGTTTCAAAAGTTTTGTTTACACCGATATAATTTTATTTATGTTGTCGATGGATGACTAGTTTGCAATATATCTTGGAGTATGGTCTGTAAAATGAGTTTATATATAATATCTATTTCTGCCTGGTGTTTTACAAACCATATTTTGCTACATGCTTTCTTTTTCTTTAAATAGATGAATCGATGTTTTTCTGGTGAGCGTTAATGATCGAATATACGATTTTAATTTTATTGACAGTTATTTTACTTTTAGTTGTTTAATACGAAAAAAGTTTATCCTCATTTTTTTTTAAGTTTATCCCATTTCTTTTTGTGTTATTTCGTTTCTTTTTTTTTTTATTACAAATGTATTCTTTTTATGAGGATAATGCTCGAATGTATGTATGTGTTTGGTCTTTGATTCTTGTTTTTTAATTTGATTGTTCAATAAAGGTGGTATGCGCGCGCGCGTGTGTGTGTGTGTGTAGTCAAATATAAAAGATATGATGAGATACATATAAGATTTCTTACAATCGATTTTTATGTATAGTATCGAGTTTAGATGTTAAATCTTACAGTACTTAGTAATTAATAATAAAAAAAATTTGAAAATTGATTTTTTTTTATTGGTATTTTAGATGAATGGTGAAGCACTTGTGTTTGATACATATTTGGACAATATTCTTCGACAATTAGAAACATCGGATGGTACTCAATTGACATCATGTGTTCGGTATATATATATATATACAATATTTATCTTCGTTAATGTATACACACAATTCTATCCTTGTTTTCTAGATCTGTTTTTGTTAAAAATGATTCAAATGAATTTTTACGAAAGTTAGATGATCGTATTAAATATTATGATTTAGAAATTGAAAAATTATGTAATTTTCAATATCAAAATTTTGTAAAAGCATTTCATGAATTATTACAAGTACGAAAGGATACAACAAGTATGAAGGTATAATAAAAAATAAATAGTTATTACTATTGTATAATATTTAGTTCTATCTATGTTTATTTGTATTTAGAATGAACTTGTTAAAAATAATCAAATGATGCAATTAGCGGGTAGAAGTTTAGCTGAGAAAACCGAATCACTTATTAAACAATATAATCGACAGAGTAATATTCAACAAACAATAGAAGCATTATCTCAAGCATTTCCGGGTATAAATTCACTTTTATCTAATCTAAAAATTAAGTTGAACTAGTTTCTCTTTTCATTTCTTCATTTAGTATTTGAAACATATCGAAAACTTCAAGAGTGTATGGAAGAGAAAAAGTATATCATTAATATTCTTTGTTTTTTCTATTGTAATTTATAATAATATCATTTAGATTATATCCAGCTTTAAAACTTCTTGAACAATTAGAAACAAAACATTTGGTTCTTGTTAAAGAACATCGTTGGTCTGAACTTATCCAACAAAATATAGCAAAATTTCGTAGTGATATTAGAAATGAATCTCATAATGAATTAAAAAATTTTTTAGAAAATGTTGCCACACATGCTGATAAAATTGGTAAAAGTGCTTTTGCACAAGTAAGATTATATTATTTATTCATTATTCTCATAAATAGAATTATATATTTATTATAGGCGTCTGTTCGTTTAAGTATTGATAAACGTTATTACATGTTAGATGAAGATAGACGACGAGAACAACAACAAGCACAACAATTAAATGGAACGAATGATTCAACAATAATCGATACTAATATAACAGAATTAATTGATTTTTCACCAATATACAAAAGTTTACATATTAATTTATTTTTAAATTTAAAAGATGAATTTTCAAAACATTATCAACGTGAAAAACGAAAACAAGCACCAGTTATTATGGATACACCACCAAAAATACATGAATCATTTGATGCATTTAAAAAATATTTACAACGTGTAACCGGATTTTTTATTGTTGAAGATCATGTAATGAATACCACAGATGGTCTCATTGATCAACGTTTTTATTATGATCTTTGTGAAAAAGCAACACAACAATTGTTGACTGTTTTAAGATTGGCTGTGGTAAGATTCAATCTTTACCATCTCTTTCTAAACTAAAAAATCTAAAATAATTGACTTTGAATATTCTCTCAACGTTACACGAGTCTGATTTTGATTTACGTATTGACATTCGATAAATGTCTGATCGAAGTTTCATATGTATCTAAGCGATCTGAACGTTTTTGTGTATATTATAGAATTTTGCATGCAACTGACAGAGGTATACGGCTACGCTTGATGAAATTTCTTTTGCATTATTAGGACGTGTGTGTTAGAAAAAACGATTAAGAAAAAGATTTAAAATGTGAATAAACTTAGTTTGATTAAGTTTTGTTGAGATAAATATAATAGATTTAAATATAAAATTTAGTTTTGGATTTTAATTGATAGTGTTGCAATATGCTAGTTTGATTTGATTGCTTGATGAGTAATTCTAATAAAATCTTTGGTTTTTCAATCATTCTTTTTTCTTTTTTGTTCTCTTTAGTCAAAATCTTATAATCCCGAACTAATGTTGGACATGAAAGTTGTTGTAGTTTTGTTTTGTGCAGCTATTAAAGTAAGTATTCGTTTTATGGTTTATTTGTCTATAAGTTTAGATTGTTCAGAAATAGTCGGAATTCAAAATGATGATATTATAGGAAAAATCCAATAATTTCGTTCTATGATAAATTTAAATTTCATCAACTAAATCATCCGTTTATTTAACGATACTTTTATTTAGGAATCTGGTTTTCCTGTGACACCATTATTAGATGTTATTATGGAATTGCGGTATGAAAAATTTTTCAAGAATATATGTTATTTTATGTTTACTATCTCTCTTTTAGAGACAGTTATCATCAATTATTATTAACACAATGGGGACAACGATGTCGAGATACGCTAACAAAAGATAATTATACCCCATTGTTAATTGAAGATGAAGAAAAATATCAGAGATTATTACGGCAATTTCCAATGAGAATTGAAGCAACTGAGAAGGTTAAATAAAATAAATATATTATTTATTGAGTTAATTACATTTTAAAACATATTAATTATAGATGCCATTTCCAAGATCTTTACCATACAGTGAATCCGTACCAAATTTATTTTCAGAAATTAAAGAGTTTGCATTTGTCTGTTCAAAGTTTGCCGAAGGTTTAAATATTAGGTAATTATTATTTAATTATAATTCTATTTTAAGATGATAATGTTCTTTTATTTATTTATGTAGTAAAACAGAAGTAGACGATATGATTCGAAAACCAACAAATTTACTCTTAACAAAAACATTGAAAACTTGTCTGGTCGAATTAACAGAATCAAATTCTGAATCTCAGTTAAATTTTTCACAAGTATGTCGGAAAAACTTCATTTCAATGTTTAGTTGTAATACCGTTTTAGTTTATATTTTAGCTCGTTCAAATATGCATAAATACATTACATTTGGAAAATTCGATGCCATTTCTTGATGATTACATTGTTGCTTTAGTACAGTAAGTGTTTTATATTTGATGTCTAAATTTTAGAGAATATAATTTGCTTTTTGTAGTGGAAATGTCAAACAAATTGGATTACGATTACAAGGTCCATCAATGCTCAAAGTAAACTCTTTAAATTCAACGATACATTATGATTTCTTTTGTTTTACTTTTAATAGGACATAAGAAGTCTTGTGGAAGATCGTATATATGATAAATTAAACGATAAAATTGATCAATGTCTTGATATAGGTAACACTCATTATTGTTTTCTTATATTGATAATTATTATAATTACTTTTTTTTCTCTCCTTCTTTCTAGCTTCATACGACTGGATGATGCCAGAAGCTGCGGGGGTTGCAAGTGATTACATTCAAACTACAATACAATTTCTTAAACATACATTCCGAGCATTCACACACTTACCCGTATGTATAGTTATCTTTCTAGGCATATTTCTATTTGGCATGTTTTCTTTTCTTTTCAACATTATTTTTATAGCGACAAGTAAGTAGCTAGAAAGAGAAGAAAAAGATTTCATAAGATATAAGTAGATCACGTTAATTTTTCAAAAAAAACATACTATGCTGATAATACTATTAGGCTGGTGATGGTGTGATTTACATATTGATTAAGATGTATATTGCTTAATATATAGATTGAGGCTAAAACATTATTGCGCATCTCTTTGATGCTTAATCACTCTCTTATTCTCTATGACTTGAAGAGAATATAGATTCAAGACTAACACCACTCGTTTACTTTTTATGTCACAAGATAAATAAAATTGAGTAAATTCTTTGTTTTAGGCTCAATTATCTCAGACAACATGTTTGTCCGCATGCAAACATATATCAACATCACTAATGAATATTTTACTTAGTCAAGATGTCAAAGCAATATCGCCTGGTGCTTTACAACAATTTTCTCTTGATCTTATCCAATGTGAAGGTAACAAACAGAAGAAGAGTAATTCATTTTATCTCTTAATTATTTTTTTTTAATTTTGTATTTTTCAGTTTTTGCTTCCTGCATTCAAATTCCGAATTTAGACAGTGAAACGTTATTACTGTGTTTTCAAGATTTACGACAGGTAAATGGAATACTTTATGATAAAAGAGTATTACTGTTCACAAAATTTTTATTTAGTTACTTGATCTAATTATGAATAAAGAGTGGAATGCATATTTTCTCGATTTTGGAAAAGAAGATGCTCAATTTGCACGTGTTACTCCTCAAGCAGCATTAATCGTCGTAGAAAAGTATGTCTGTATTTTTATTCTTGGTTTTTTTTCTCGATTTATTATTGTATATATCTTTTTATTTTAGAATACGAGAAGGTTTAAAACGTGCAAGACCATTTTTTAGTCGTCGTCAACAACCAGAAAAAGATGATAAAAAACTACTTGATCAAGTGGCAAAAGATTTACGTAATCTAATTAATGATAGAGCAAATTCATAAATGAAACTTTACACGTTT